TCTCCATCACTTTACTGTCTAGTCCTGTTTTTCTTATTGCTGTAATCAGTATTATACAGTTTTAGTGCGTTTGGCTTATGTGTTAATATAAACACCCTTCTTTGTCTCCTTTAGTATTTTTCACAACTTGAATTCTATTTTTGTACTAATAGAGTTTATACTTCTATTACTTCTTTTAAAGGAGACATACCTTTTTTTAAACTTCTATTCTCTGTCTTCCTTTTGGTTGAAATACATTTTTGGTTGGATTTTGTTGATTTATTCTTTCCCAGGATAACTAGTATTTAATGAGTACCCATAGTTAGCATAACGAAAACTATCAAAATAACTAGTGTTTTCCTTTTTTACTGTAGCAAATAAAAAAAAAAATTCAAAATTTATCATCCTATTTTTAGGTGTACTAGTCAGTGATACAATTCATTCACCATAATGCTGTATGTTGAAAACTAAAACATATAATTAAAAAAATCAGCTAAAGAAACAAGAATGACACCAATCTCTAACCTTTTCTGAGACCTTGGAAACCGCAATTGTCTTTGTGATTTTGACTAAGACATGGCATGAATGGAATCATGTGATAGTTGCCTTTGTATGGGTATCTATGTGTTCATGCAATTGCAGGTGTGAGTGTGCCACAGTGTGTGCAGGCTAAAAATCAATCGGGGGCCTCATTTATTAGGAGCTATCCACCTTGTGCTTTTGAGACAGGGTTTCGTACTAAGACCTGGAGCTCATTAATTTAGGCTAGGCAGGCTGGCCACTGAGCCCCAGGGAACCTCTTGTCTCCTTCACCTTGCCCTCCCATCCCCCCCCCAGTAGCTGACATTACTACACCCGTGCATAGCACCATGCCTGTCTCTTCAGCTCCTAGTTAGTGCTTGTCTTTTTGAGACATTTCATTTGGCATAATGTCCTCCAGCCTCATCACAATGAAACATAGGCCAGCTCTTTCTTTCTTTTTAAGACTGAATAATAGTCCTGATTTAACTTTTTAACACACGTACAATTGTCTTCTAAGTTAAAATCGCTTACTTATATTGCTTGGCCTCTTTCTACAGCTTTTATGAAATACACCTCTTCATTTTTCTCCTTTTCTGAAAGAGTAAGCTAAAAAATAATTTTCTTTAAATTTCAGACTTAACTACCACAATAATAAATTCTAGCTCATAGCCGGGAATGGTGGTGTACACCTGTAATCCCAGCACTCAGAGAGGCAGAAGCAGGCGAATCTCTGTAAGTTCAAGGCCAGCCTGGTGTACTAAGTGAGTCCAGGACAGCCAAGGCTACACAAAGAAACCCTCTCAAAAAACAAAACCAGAAAAATAAAACGACAAACAAAACAAAACAAAACTCAAATAAACAAATAAATTCTAGTTCCACTTTTCTATAAGTTCTTAAAAACTTTTTGTTTTGGATCCTTTTCAGTCCTAAAGATTGATATATGCAAATATCTCCATGGGCTACATCTACCAGTATTATGTAAAAACCTAGTAGTACAAAAAACTAAGGGTAGTTACTCATCCCTCTGTCAGTAATAAACTAGTTATATGTCAACACAATATCCCTAGTTTAAAGAAAAAAAAAAAAGCCTATAAGATGGTACAAAGGATGTAGGCCCTTGCTGCCAAAACTGACAATTGAGTTTGATCCACTGGACCCATGTAGTAAGAGTGAACTGATTCCCACAAATTTCTCTTTGATCTATCTAAGCATACTCTGGCACATTTGTGCTCATGTGTACACACATATACACAATAAATAAACAGAATTATTTTTATTAAAATGTGAGTAGAGTGTAACAGCTTTGTCATTTTTAAGTATCTAGCTTAACAACAGACAGCTGGATTCTCATTGCTGTTTCTTCTGCACTGTGTTGTCACTGTGACGTAGCCCCTCAAAGACCCCACTGATATTTGTAGCAGCAGAGGATGCATAAAACAAGCCAAGATTACTTCTCTTAGTTACAACAGCTTTGTCCTCATAGATCTCTCTAAAGTCATTTAGTTTTGCTTTAAAAAAAAAAAATCTATTTTCAAGTTTATATTTATCATAAGGATGTGGCCCCCTCTGTTGCCTTTAGCTTTTCTCAAAAGCTTGGTAATACTAGGTAATGTGTTTGAGGTATTAACAATGCCAACCTGCCAGTAAAGAGATTAAACTGCGGTGCCAGGAGGGGCATGCCGGAAGCCAATGAGCTCGGCACAGGCCTCCTCTTTCTCATGGATAGTAATAGGGTCTGTAAAGCGTTTTCCTTAATCCCTCCATAATAGCCACACAGGTGGCTTAGTTAAAATAATAATAATAATAATAATAATAGTAATAATAATTTAACCAGTTTCTTCATTTATCAATGCTTCCTTAATCTTACTTCTTACTCATATTTTTCTTCTCAACAGAAGAGATTTAAAGCTATATGTATTTCTAAAATGTCTTTACATGGCCCTTTCAGAGTCCTTCTAAACTGATCCAATTTTATATAGACAAAGTATGAAATATACCTTTAATCCAGTATGTTCAACTCTTTAAATGCTTACCAAATGTATCCGACTCATGATACAGTCTCATGCCAATGTGTTTGTAGGCTCATTTTCTAAGTCCTTCAATGCTTAGTCAAGGATTTCTAGCCCAAGGTTAAATATCTAATTCCAGTCACAGTCTTTGGACATTTGGAGGTGGGGCAGGAATGAGATGGAAATCCCCAAGTTAACCTCCTTGTAGAGTTGAGAGGCTGAAATTGTACTAATCTTTCAAGGTCTCTTAAAATTACATTTCTAATAGCAAGCTACATTGATCTATTAGTTTTGAATGAACATCAGAACTCTTATTTCTATCAACTACCACATCCTATAAATAGTTACTGTCTAGCGCATGGACATGTCCATAATACCCAAAACCTAAAGCTTTGCGTTTCAATTCCCAGAATCACATCTACTTCACTTAGTAATTACCCAATTCAATGTTGTTTCATCACTCCACTAAAAGTATATTTGCTCTTATATCCTTTTATTAATCTTTCTTTATATTTAATAAACAATGAGCTTTAAAAGTACTATTTTACACTGCTTGCTACATGGCCCTTCCTTACAATTTAGAAATTTGCCTGTTGTAACAATTTACAAAATTTTTTACTCAAAACATTACAGGAATTGGTAAATTTCTCCTCTTGAACATCTATACTTAAGCTAGTGAAAATGTTTACACTAGGAGAATATAGTGTGCTGAACTCCTGCCTCAGCTGTCTGCTGACAGGATCATCTTCTACTGTTTTAAAACATGTTACACATTAGCACGACCATCTTCTCTACATTAAAAGCATTTATCTTTCAAGAAAGTGAGGGAAGGCTGTGGAACAACCAGATAAGCCAAAGTAGCCTAGAAAAGCCTACTTGGTAGAATATGAAAGTGATAAAGCCTATCGTAAGATGAATGCAAAAAAAGTCCAAATGAACAACGCTTAGGTATATGGGGGGCAAATACAGGAAAGTTCTGAGGTTCTGAAGAGCTTTGCTTTGTCACCTGAGCAGGAATAACAATTTTGGAAAACTGTCCCATGCAATGGATTCCTGGTTTAGAATGTTTTACTATAAAGACTTCCCTAGAGGACTATTAGTTATGGATTCCAACAGCAAATATGCTAATTAGCCAAAAGTCCCCTTTGTTCCTCTGACTTTGTTATAAAACACTATCAGGCTGTGGTGCTGCATGACTTTTCCAGCCCTCAGAATGCTGAGGCAGGAGGATCATAAAAGTTCAAAGCCAACCTGGGCTATGTAGACCCTGCCTCAACAACAAAAGGCCAGAAGAGTACTTTACTAGCAGTTTCTTGCAGCAGGGCTTGCTAGTGTACAGACAAAAACTGAAGTTTGCTTCTGTGTTTCAGACTGGAAATTTTCTGTGGTATTTTAACTGTAACTGAGGAGAGTATTCAGGAATTGGGGATAGCGGGTCGGGGGTAGTAATAGCTGTTCTCACTTAAAAATTAGAAATATATAAGTTCTTAGCATCTAGCTAAGTTTAAGAAACAGCAGCAGTATTCAAGAGCCAGAGGCAGGCTGATCTCTGTGAGTTCAAGGCCAGTTTGGTCTACAAAGCAAGTCCTTGACACCCATGGCTGCTACACAGAGAAACTTTGTCTCAAACAAACAAAATTAAATAAAAATAAATGCATAAAAAGATGGTTAAAAAAAGATGGCTGTATTTATTTTTTTAAAGGCTTACTTATTTTTATATGTACAGGTGTTTGCTTGCAGTATATATACATAAACTCCTATTTCTGTTGGTCTAGAACTATGATCCTTTGAAAAGTAGCACTGGGCCAGGTTAAAATGTTTAGCTGTCTGGGTTCTACAACAGAGCATGTATCTGAATGGGATCCCAGGGTGATCTATATGCATACCAAAGTTTACTGAATGATAGTGAACAAACCTAATTGCCCAATATGCACCTATTTCTACATTCCTCTGTAATAGATCTTGGGTCTTAAAAGTCTTAAAAGTCCTACCCCTCACTCCGAAGTCCAATTGGTTTCAGATGTCTCTCCCCTGGCCAATGACTGGTTCAGGAATGAAGGGCTTATAACTAAGCCAATTTGGGGAAATAAAACTAAGTGCAAGTAGTCTGGAGATGCTACTTTAGAAAGGTCCGTGGATTTTGAGAGCTAGAGGAAAAGTTTCTCTGGACAATGCCATGTCTGAAGGCAAACGGTAAAAGCTAACGCAGATAATTACCAGTAGCTTAAGAATGAAGATAGAACTGACTAGAAGAGAATGAGGCACTTTCAGTTTGAGGGGAATTGAAAACTTAATTTGAAATTCCTAGTCATAATTGACTAGCTTTGCAATTATCTGATTATTCAAATGCTATTCCAAGTGTTCTATGGTATAATGGAATACATCTGGCAAGTTATTAAAATGTCTATCATTTTAAAGACATTGATCAGAAAACATTTAAGCTTAGTTACTAATATTCAGTTCAATATACAGGATTTCAAAAAAAATTACCTTTCAACAGATGATTAAGGTCCATTGTGTCATGTAAGACTTTTTGTTTGGCTTTACGGTCTAGATTTGCATCTACCACTGATGATTTTGGAGCAAAATTCAGCCCATGCTTCTCTTTCCTTTTGGCTGATTTCAGAGATCTTGATTCATTCTTTAAAGCCTCCACATCCTCATAAACATCCCGGTTCACATTTTCTTGTCTTTTAACTTTTGCTTTCTGATCATGTGATGGGGCCAACTCCAGCGACTGGGCAGGGCTGATGTCTGGAGCTGACAGAGGAGTTACGTCTGTTACAGAGTCTTCGTAGTCCTCATTGTAGTCACCACTTTTTTGTTTAGTACTGGAAGGCTGTTTACCTGTTGACTTTCTTCCTGACTTACATCTCTTCTTTGGTGACACATCAGAAGCCTGTTTACGAGATGGGCATGATTCAGACTTTTGGATGTCAGATCCTGTGTCTGAGCAGTCTGAACTTGATCTTGACGATGAGGAAGACAAAGAAGAGGAGGAATTGACTTTGGAATATTTTTTACTTTTTTTTAAGTTAGTAGCGGGCTTGGCTGACTTGGACTTCACATGATATTTTTTTCCATCATCGCTGCTTTCCTCTCCGTCTGTGTAGTAATCATCCTCACCTTTTACTATTTTGGGAATTCTATTTGGAACGGGCAAGTGTAATTTATGTCCTTTTGTAGCATCACATGACTTTTTTGATCTTGAAGACGTGGTCAACAATGAGGAATTTCTTGTTTGTGTATGATCATTTTCTACATGTTGCTCCATTGAGGAAATTTTTGCTTTTCTTTCATTTCCTTTCTGAATAAGGTAATTTTCCTTTGTTTGTATTCTAAGTTTCAGGTTCACATTTTCTGTGTCATTATCTATTCTCTCTTTAGGGTCATCATTTTGTATTCCAAATTTCAAGTTTACATTTCTGGTGTCCTTATCTATCCTTTCCTTAAGGTCATCATTTTGCTTGTCAAAAACTGAATTACTTTCACATTTGTTTGCATCTTCAAAATCACTGTCAAAGAAAGAATGGTCCACTTCACCTTCCGATACATCTCCAAATCGATCCATGATGGCAAAAGTATATCTGAAAAGGAGAAAAGTGCAACCATCAGACTGGAGTAATTTCTAAATACTTTTCATTTTTATTTTCTCATAATGAGAAATGTTGGTAGGAAAAAAAAAGAACTATTAAGAAGTGAAACCAGGTTGTGAAGTCATGATGGAGTTATACCAATAGTCTCAGAGTTCACAAGAAACAACAGTTCATCAGGGCAGGCATCACACATAGCAATACCCAAACCCAAAGGAAGTATCACTTCTGTACAGTACAATTAGACTTTAAAAGAAGAAAAGACAATTGGCCTTTAGTCAATTTACTTTAGCCCATCATTTGATTCCCCATGGTCAGAAGGGTGTGGCTGGATGAACAAAGCTGCTTATCACGACAGATAAGAAGCAGAGCAAAGGTATAAGATCGGTCCTTCAGTGACACCCCAGTCGGTCATCTTCTTGTCAGGCTCCATCCTCTAACTTCTACCACTAATCCAATGACTCCAATGTTATATTAAAGCCCTGGTTTAACTGTCCTTGGAAATCTCAGACTCACTCAGGTAGGTTTTCTTCATTGCTCCTAGGTATCTCTCAAGCTTATCAGCTTGGTAATCGAGGTTAATTATCACAGTTGATATGAAAACTTTTCAAGGTTAGCCAGTTCAGTCACCAATTATTCTGGTGGTAATAATGTAATAAAACCAGTGAGTGTCGGCATTTTACTACCTGTTAACCATCCTATTCTACTGCATATACTGAGGAAGAAGCACACAGAGAGCTGTGACTCCTATAAAAATCTCCTCCATCCTTTCTCTGTAAGCAACAGAAACCCCAAGACACATAAACAGGCTGACCAAGTAGCTTCCAAATAAATTTCTGAATATTTAATCACAAGCTATGACATAACACAGGAAATACTACTGCAGAAAAGTATACATGGCTCACTGCATTAAAAAGAGTCTAATATATGACATCTTACAGTTGGCCACCATTTGTCTAAAATAAAAAAAAATTAGACACATAAAATTCAACATTAGAAGAAATGAATTTAACTTCTAGAGAGTTATTTCTGGTATGGAGTAGGGACACTGTTTTGTTATAGACCTTAAATTACTTAACATATAGGTTTATGCACATATATAATGATTCTAAAAGTTCATGTAAAATATCTTAATAGTATACACAATTAGAACTAAACTGAAAATATTACTATAACTATACTTTAAAAGTATTTCATTACATCTATTATCATAGTAACTTAGAAGCAGTACCACATTATTATTGATAATCTTGAGTTTCCTTCTTTTTTTTCTTTGAGACAGGATTTGTCTGTGTATCCTTGGTTGTCCTGGACTCAATTTGTAGACCAGGCTGGCCTTGAACTCATAGGCCAGGCATGTGTTACCATGTCCAACCTCAAGCTTTAGTTTCTAATCCTACTCTCCATTAAAAGCAAAAACCAAGATGTGTGTGGCACATGCCTTTGATCCCAGCACTTAGAAAGCAGAAGCAGGCAGATTTCTGTGAGTTCAAGGCTAGCCTGGGTCTACAAAACAAGTTCCAGCCAGGCAGGGCTACACACAGAGGAAACCCTGCCTAGAAAAAAAAAAAAAAAAAAATCAACCAAACAAAAAACCAAAACAAAACAATACCACCAAAAAACAAAAACAAAACCAAAAAACACCAAAAAACAAAACAAACAAAAAAGAAGGGAGGAGCTGGAGAGATGGCTCAATGGGTAAGAGCCCTTACTGCTCTTTCAGAGGAGCCAGGTTTCTTTCCATCACCCACAAGATATTTCACAACCATCATGTAACTCTAGCTCCAGATAGATCCAAATTTTTTGGCCTCCACAGGCAGTAGGCAAACACAGGGTGCACAGGCATGCCTTCAGGCTAAGTACCCAGCTGTGAAAAATAAACAACAACAAAACAATCAGAATTCATAAAAGGCAGCCAATGTTATTGCGAGAAGCAAAGAAAACCAAGCGTCTTATCACAGCCTCTTAATATCACATGCCAGCTTAATAATCAAATAGGCCTGTAGTAGTGCAGTGGAACAAGTTTGCTCTTGTAAAACTACCTAACATAGGATAGCTTAAGGGAAGTTTATGAATTATTTTGGCACATGGCCCATCACGGAAGGCAGGATTGTGAAACAGAGCTGCACATTCCATGGTGGAGATAAAGCAAAGAGAATGGCTGCAAGGGTAGGCTCTCCCCTTTTGCATTCCATTGGTAAAGAGGGTTGCTTTAAGCCAGTAGGATGCTGCCACCTACATTCATGAGTTCCCTCTTTATCATCTCCAGAAATGCCCTCACAATTACACTGAGGTGTTTCTTACTGATCTAGGTACTTATCAACCCGATCAAATTGATAACCAAGATTAACCATGTCAAAGTTAAAAAGGGATGGTACTGTACAAATTAAAAAACAAATAATATATAAGTGAAAAATTCTGCAGGAGCTCTTAAGGCCACCAAGTCCCTTGAATCAAAAGGGACATATGTTATGTTGAGGAACAGACGTACAACCATTTCCATCGTTAATAAGCAGCCAACCAAGCAAGAATGTGCTTACTGTATTTAATTCCAGCAGAGTAAAGTGGGCACTATAAATTTACATAATGTGTATCCTACAGAGGCCAGGACACACTGAATAAACTTTTATTTCCTCTTAAAGTGTCCCTATAACCCAAAAGAAGACATGAAAGGTATGGATATAATTTAAGAGTAATACAACTTTTATCATTAACAATGTAAAAATTATGTATTCACACATTTTATCACCAGAGTAACCTTTTCTGTCTTTAAGGTTTTGAAGCCTTCTTACATATTAGAAATAAATTTTATTTTTTGCTTTGTTGAAACATGGTCTCACTACATAGCTTTAGCTAGCTGGAACTTGCTATGTGGACCAGGCTGGCCTCAAACTCAAGAGACTGAACTGTCTTAGCCTCAGGAAGCTCGGATTAAAGGCATGCACTACCATACCCTGCTAGACATAAATTCATTTACTTATTTGCAGTATGCAGTGTTGAGGATTAAACTCAAGGTCTTGGGCATGCTAGCTAAGCTAACACTGAGCTACACTTCCTGTCTTTAGACTTGTAAAATGTGGACTGTAACCTATCTTTAAATGCTTAAGGGAATTAGACTGATTAAACCTTTAAGTTTATAAACAATGTTTAAGTGTTCTGGATGATGTCCTTGCTACACTTATAGGTGTAACTTGTTAGGTATTGGAAATACTTAACTATGAAGTATAATTTAAAACCAGGTTTGCAAATGTCATATATAATGACCAGGAAATTTAATATTTTACAAGCTAAGTAAACATCAGTTAAAGTACAAATTAGTTAAAAATTTAGCACAAACCTAGATCAAACAGTACACATCATGGAGAAGCATTATGGCATATAGCAGTTATATCTCTATTAACATTCAAGATATTAGTTTCAAAATGTTAGCATATATTAAAACCTTCTTTACAAATTCAAATTCAACCTGTCACAGTGGGACTGGGAGTATAATTTACAGGTAGAGATCTTGATTTCTAGCAAACAAACAAAAAAGATGGAATCCCCTCAGTTTTAGCTGTCACATTTATCTGTATAGATATCAAAGTTCATTCTCTCAAATAATTTATAAAGCTAAAATGATTTTTAAAAAGATAATACTATGAATACTTTTTATTCCTTATGAAAACAACTAACAGCAAGTGTAGATTATATACCTTTTAAAGATATGTTATCTTTTTTGAATATATCTTTCATTGGGACTCTGCAGCACTCATACTGTCCTTCTAAAAGAGGATACTTTTTATTACTCTTATTCAAAGACCAGGATAGCTAACAAAGGAAGCATAGACTCTAGGGCAATGGAAAGCAGACTTTTCCATTCACAGATTTTCCATTCACAGAAACATGTACTGTTGCTTCAAAGCTAACTTTATGAATAGTAAGTTCTTGCAGTAGAAGTCAGGTGAAGTCCCAGCAAATATTTTAAATTTCAAAGACTTGATATTTAAGTTCAATTTAGAGTTTAATGTTTTCTTTACTACAAATATGATATTTATGATCTGAGGTAGAGTTATCTTCTAAAATTTCTGAATAAGGCATTCGTACCAGTGATACAAACAGCAGAAGCATGGAAAGAGAAAGAGAGAAAGAGAGAGAGAAAGAACACCTTTGTGTGGTGCCTGTGAAATCCAGTGTGTATGTGTGTGTGTGTGTGTGTGTGTGTGTGTGTGCGCGCGCGTGTGTGCACGTGTGTGCACGTGCACCTGAGTGTGGTGCCTGTAAAGTCCAGCAGAATGTGTCAGGCCGCCTAGAGCTAGAGTCATAGGTTGTTGTGAGATAACAGGCACCACAGTGTGTGATGGGAACCCAACTTGGGGCTTCTGCAAGAGCAGTTTAGACTATTAACCACTGAGCCGTATCTCCAGCCCCTGAAATGTCTTTTAAAAGACACCTGACAACTTGTTTTCAGAGACATACAAGAGCCGTAGACTCTGTGAATCACAACTTAATCAGCAGACATTTATAAGAACAAAAACATAAAAGATAGAAATGAAGGTAGTCACAGAATTACTTATAATAGACAAAAGCTGCACAGAGTAAAATTATTTCTCTAAAATATTTAGATCACAGGCCAGCAAACTATTATTCAGGGCCCCATCTGGCGTGCTATATGTATGTAGATAAAGTTTTACTGGAACACAGCTCTATTCATGGATTTAGATATTGCCTCAGGCAGTTTTCATATTACTACTGAGAGACTCAACAGACTCGGGACCATAGAGCAAAATATTTTCTATGTAATCTACTTGAAAAGTTTGTAGTCCTGATATAGTTATATATATATGAATGAAAAAACATATACAGTTACCTGTAGTGGATCAAGAATAACATGAACATATTTAAATAAAAAGCTGAGGGGAGACAACTTAAAAGCTGACTTGCTAGCAGAGACTTCAACATTTCCCACTGCTATGATGACTACGACATACATAAAATAAGTGGGAACACGCCTAGTGTATGAAAAAAGGGAAAACCAAGCCAGGCGAACCAAGGCATAAAGCTTGGCTTTCTGTTTCCTGGCTGTGCGATCCAGGGTCGTGTATAAGAATGCACACACCAAGCTCTGGGTCAGCAACAAGTTGCAAACATCCTCTACTGCCTAAGAGGAAATGGACAAGTAAAATGTCATTACTAGCACATAAAAAGGAGAAATTGAGATCTATAAAAATAATGTTGGATAGAAAAGCAGAACTAAATGAGCAACAGTAACACAAAACAACGCTGTAGCCTTCAGTGGGCACATATATATATATATATATATATATATATATATATATATATATATATATATATAAAAGTCATGGCGGATGGGTTGGAAGGGCGTACACTAAAAATCTACGAGTACAAATATATGAGGAAAAGGAATGAGACTGAGGAAATTCCAGCTTGGGCAGGAGCCTGTCCCCAGAATATTACTGGTATCATTCCAGCCACTAACATTAAAAAAGAAAAAAAAAAAAAATCAAAATATCCACTCGAATGGTTGATACCTTTTAACTCAATTACTAGCTCTTCCTCCTCAAATTTATGTTTGTTTGTTTTTTTTTGTAAGATAATTTACCTTTGAAAACAACAGATAAAGGCCTGAAATAGCTGGTTGTTTTATGCCCCTCTGTCACTTTTAATTAATAACTTTGCAATTACAATGGTTTCTATGTTTCATCCAATTTCCAAAGAACAGTTTCAAAGCACAACCTAAAGCATTATAGTAAATCACGTCAAAACAAGATAATTCAGTAGGCCTTGCTAACCATTAAAGTACAGCACAGTAGTATAAAAGTCAGGAGTGCATGACACATTTTAAGTAATGCTTCAGGACATTTATTTCTATCACTTATATGTATATTCTGCACAGTGGGCCTTAATATAAAACATATTTCTTCTTTTTTTAAACATATTTCTTATTCATGAGTTTGAAATGTCGCTTGTCAGGCTGGAGAGATGGCTCAGAGGTTAAGAACACTCACAGTTCTTCCAAAGGTCCTGAGTTTGATCCCAGCAACCACATGGTGACTCATAACCTTCTATAGTGAGATCTGGTGTGCAGGCAGAATGCTATATAAATAATAAATAAATCTTTAAAAAAAATCCCTGAAATGTCACTTGTCTATGGAGATGAGAAGCTGTTACCAAATGGTAATATAAGAAGAGAATTGAGTGGAAATTTAAATTGAATGGTACTGGACTTTCAAGCATTATAAGCAGTATCTAGGATAAGTGCTTTCCAAACAGATATCAGCTACACTAAACAAACCTGAGACGACATTGTAATCGCCTTAAAGGAAGGTAACTTTCTTGAAATTGAAGAATCTCAGACTGGACAAAACCCACAAAATTATGAGATATGTTATGGGATCTAAAGAAATAAACATACCTTAACCATAAACAAAAAGTAATTTTAGGACCAGTGAGATGGCTCCTCAGGTGATGGGGCTTGCCACCAAACCTGCCAACCTGAGTGTGATCCTTGGGCCACATGGTGGAAGAAGAGAGCTATCTCTTCCAGGTTTTCCCCTGACCTCCACAAGTACTAGTGAATATGCATAAGCACACACAAATCTAGTGAAACTTATTAAGGAGAAAAAGCAATTGTCGTACCAGAAGTTCCTAATGATGGTTTGCTCAGACTCAGTACTGACAGACATGTGTGACATCTCACTCAAGTGCATGTTTAATTATACTCACGAATAGGTTCGTTGAGATTAAAAAAAAGCTTAAACTTGAGACAGAGAAACAGCGAAGTGCTTGCAAGCCTGAGGACCTAAACTCAATCCACCTGGGAGTGGGAGAGGGCAGGCACATGTTTGTAAAGCTGGTGCTGAGGTGGTGGATCTTTAGGACTCTGCAGGACTAGCCAGTCTACTTGGTGAGTTCCAGGCCACTTCCCAAAAGAGATGATGAAGGATACCTGAAATTGTCCTCTGGCCCTCTACACAGATGCTGTCTTGTCTACTTAATTTCCAGGGTCCAACAGCAGAACCAGAAGAGAAGAGAAGGTTTGTCTAAAACTTAGCCTACAGTATTCTCCTCTCCAAGCTGGCTAGAGTTGGTGTGTCCTTATAATGGCAGCTACAAGTGAAACTGAATTGAGAGGATCACGCAAGCTCTCTCTCTAGAGACCAACGGTCTCTGAAAAAATGGAGAGAGGAGGGGATGGGATGAGAAGGAGGTGTGGCCATTCTTAGCAGACTGGGAGCTCCTGATGTCTTGTTCACCTTTACATCCCCAGTGTCTAAAAAAAAAGACCTACAAAAATTAGGTAAACATTTAAAGAAAATGTTTATCCCACAAAGGAGGCTAGAGGCTTAAGCCTCAGCCCAGGTTCTTGCTCTTTGCTTCCTATGCAAACAGAACAAAAACATCAGGCTTTGGTAATTTTTCTTTTCTCTCATGAGAGTTGGCCCACTGCCTAGTGGATGTTGACATTTTTGAGGTGTTTATAGTCAGAATTTCTGACGGATGAGGGAGGCTGTGAACACTTAAACAGGTGATTTAACTTAATTTCCAGGAAAACTTATCTGACAATCTCACCCATTAGCAGTTCTTTTGCTAAAATTTGCATCAAGGTTGCTGTCATTCAATTTACGTAGGAATTTAAGTAAGAAAAATGATGGGTTTTATAGGATAGTCAGGATTCTCTTACAACGTATCAGGAGAGTTCCTGAGACCTGAATAATTGTTGTCAAACAACCTGGAAGTCACTTGGACGCTGACGTTTGCTCAAACAGGCAAAGCCGTAGAAATAACGGTGCTTTCACAACACACCAGAAAGAACACACAAATACCCTGGAATTAAAAACGTCATCTTGTACATTTGTGATACTCCTTATCTGCCGATGTGTATTATGGGGCTCCAAACTGGGCATACAAAAATCTCGGCCCAAGCTGAACACCTGTTTTCCACGGATGTGGGGCTTCGTCCACGACCCCAGTCAGTACCCTCTCCAGGCTCTGGGACGTAGCACTCAAAAGACAGCTCCTCGGGGCCGTGGGTTCGGGCTCAAGCACCCGACGACGCGGCAGCAGAGGCCGCACCTCAGAGTGGGCTCCGACCTCGACTCCGAGCCACCTCTCGCGTCCTCGCGGGGGGTGGGGCGCGGGGGGAGGTGGCGGCGGGCTACCGTTTTTTTGTAACGGTTACCACGCCGCCCGAGGGAGCGGCTGGCGAGCGCCGAGGGCAGCCTGCGACCTCCGCCGGAGGTCCGGTCGTACCCACCCCGGGTGCTCGCCTCCGTCAGCCTCCGACCCGGGGAAAACCGACCCCGACCGCGGGAGTGGGTGGCTCGCCGGCCGCGGACCGGATGCGGAAGCCCGGGGGCCGCTCACCTGGGAATGGTAGCAGGTACCGACTGCCTCGCCGCGCCGGGCGTGCTGGTCCACGCTCGCTTCGGGCACGCGCACTTCCACCTCCGCGGGCCCCCCTCCGCGGCGCTCGAGGCTACCCCGGGCGCCGGCTGGCCGGAGCTCCCGGAAATGGAGTGAGCGGAAGTGGAGAGGCGGGGCGACGCCGGGACGGCGTTTCCTCCGAAGAGGATGCCGGCGGGGTTCCTGGCTTCGGTGTCTTCGGAAGACTGGGTCGCCGAGGGCTGGAGGGCGCTGCAAGGGCGACGGCTTCTCCGCGGGGCCTCTGGAAGACTAGGAGGCAAGTAGAAAGGAGACCACCGAGGCCGGTCCGCTGTCCAGGGCATGGTCTGCGCGGATACCCGCGACGGAGCGGTAGGTTTAGGCATCGCGGCTGATTTCCCGCAAAAACGCTGTGTTCTTGTAATTCTGTAACAAGACAATAATAAAAAAAAAAAAAAAAATAGAGGGCGGCTCTGTCTTTGTGGCGTTTTATTTCAGCAAACCTCTGTTCACACAAGCCAGTCGCGGTGACATGTGCCTTTAATCTCAGCATTCGGGAGAGGGATTTCTGTGTTCAAGGCCAGCCCGGTCTACATAGTGACTTCCAGGGCAGACAGGGCTATTCCATGAGACCCCTTGTCAAAGGGGAAAAAAAAAAATACAGTTCAAGCAAAGTTAATGTACATCAGGGTCAGGTGACGTATGAAGAAAGGCCCTTTTACTGATGATGGAAGTGCACATGAAAGCAATATAGAAATGATCTCTACAGACTGCTGAGTGCCCGAATTTCTTCTTCTTGAACTCTTGGACACATCGTGGGGGCAGGAATGACACCCCACTCCCAATCTTCATCCTCTAATCACCAGAGCACATAAATATGTCAGTTTCTATGGCAAGGGAAACTTAGCTGATGCATGTAAATTTACATGATCCAGAAATCCATTGTGTAGTCACTAGGGCACTTATAAAAGGGAGAAGTGAGTTAATTGTAGGAGCTGTTCCACAAAAGAGTCGAGTGATGTGTGGAATAGTCAGTGAGCCAAGGAATGCATGCAGCTCTGGAAAGCTGAAAAGAGGCAAGGAATCGCTTCCACCCTGAAAGAACGCAAATCTGCCTCGATTTGAGACTTCTGACCTCAACCCTAGTCCAAATAAAGTCGTTTTATACCTTTAACGTTGTGTAGTTACAGCCATGATAAGTACTCAGTGAGCACTTATACGAAAGTACAGCGAAAGCCAGCACAGACTTAACAGCATAGCCCAGGGCCCACCACTGTAGCGTTTTGTCAGAGCTGTGACAAAATGGCTAAAACAAAGGGGAAAGATGTGTTTGACTCACATTTTGAGAGGGTTCAGTCCTTCATGGCACTGTAAAACAGTTCATGTAAATGTGAAGCTGGAGAAAGTGGCCTACAGGAAGAGGCCAGGGGCACGTATAACCCTAGAGAAGGACCTCTAGTGACCTCCCTCCTCACCGCCCCCCTTTCACCACCTGCTAATAATGCCAGCATATTGTGAATCCATCAAGGATCACTCCATTGATGAGATCAGAGCCCACATCATGTCTCTGGAAATGCCCTCAGAGACACACCCAGAGTTGAGCTTCACTAAGTCTCCAGGGGTTTCCAATCAAATGTGTGTGAATGCTCACGATCACAGCCATCACACTCAAGAAAGAACTCTTATTTTGAACAATGCATTTTATGTTTTCTTGGTCTTGATTACTTTTTTTTTTTTGACAAAGACTTTTTTTTTTTTTCACTGTTGGCTGAAAGAATTTCACTTAATGAAAATATTTTGGCACCAATTTCCAGGATAGATGTAAAGTGTTTGAGTAGACATTTCTACAAAGGAGATCCAAATAGCTGAGCACACAGGAAGTTCACTAGTGTGAGGCTTTGAATGAAAATGGCCTCTATAAGCTCATGTATTTAAATACATAGTTCCTAGTTGCTGAAACTGTTTGGGAAGGATTAGGAGGTGAGACCTTGTTGGGAGTGTGTCAGTAGGGGTGAGCTTTGAGGTCTTAAAAGATTTGTGCTCTTTTCCAGTGTGCCTCTCTGACTCTTGGGTCAAGAAGGGAGCTCTCTGTTCTTGCCAGCATACCTTTGCTCTGCCATCATGGACTCCAACCTTCTGAAGCCGGAAACCCAATTAAATGCTTTATTATAAGTTGCCTTGATCATGGTGTTATGTCACAGCAATAAAGAAATAGCTAAGACAGGCATTAAGGAAATGCAAGTCAAAATTAGTGAATGTTTCTGAGACGGCCAGGTCTGGTGGATAAATGTGCTTGCCAGATGACCAAAATTAGATCACAGAACACAATAAAACATCCTAGGGCTAGAGAGCTGGCTCTGCTGGTAAAAATAATTCCAAAGCAAACCTGACAACCTGGATTCCCAGACTCCACAGAAGGAAAGAACCAGCTCCTCAGAGTTGCCCTATAATCTCCATAACTTTGCTATGATATACCTGTACCTACACATCAGACATACAAAATAAATAAAACAATGAGGTACAGTTTAGCCCCACTAGGACAGTTATTATTTTAAAAATACCTCTTGCAACAAACTAAGAAAACAAGATGACAAAGACTCAAAGAAATTGGAAACCTTTTGTACAGTTGACATGTAAAACAGCAGGACAGAAAATTCTATGGTATTTCCTTGAAAATATTAAATAGAATTATATGAACCAGAATTATATGAATCCATTTTAGGATATATATCCAAAAGAATTAAAACCAGCATCTCAGATATTTGTATATCCAGATTCATAACATTTTTATTCACAGGACTCAAAATATAGAAACAACCGAAGAGTCTATTAACAGATAAAATGTTATACAGGCACTTGCATATACACAGTGGACTATTATCCAGCCAAAAAAAAAAAAAAATACATGCTATAACATGAAATTTAAAGATATTATGCTAAATGCTTAGTAGGAAAAGACAAATACATGATCCCATTTCTAAAAGGCTTAGAATAGTCAATTTAATGGAAACAAAACAGAATTGAATGTGAAGGAGTAGTGGGGAGGAGGGAATGGCAAGTTGTGTGATGGCAGAGTTTCTATACACATGGGCTGATAGAAAAAGTTCTGGACATGGGTAGTAGTGATAGTTACACATTGAATGTACTTAGTACTACACTGTGAAAATGGTTAGGATGGTGAATTTTCTGTTTTGTGTATTTTACAATAAAAGCAATTGACTTTTAATGATTCTCTTGGAGACAGATTTTTAAGTCTTGGCTCATCATTGGTATTTGTCCTTAAGGCTTTTTAAAACAAATACTATAGAGTGAGTAGCTTCTCTCTCACAGAGTTGGAGGAAGGGAAGTCGGAGGTCACGTTCCAGCATTTAAGGGTTCCAGTGAGCACTTTGATGCCTGGTCCAGAGACAGCTCCTCTGCTGTGTTCTCTCTCTGGGTGTGAAGACTCTTCTCTCCTCCCTTGAGACAGGGTCTCATGGAGCTTGGGCTGTCTTCAGACTCACCGTGTAGCTGAGAATAACCTTGAAATGATCTTCCTACTCTCCTAATTTTAGGATTACAGGTTTGCCCCACCACACCTGGCTCATAGTCCCCTAAATTTCCTTTTTTACCTTTATTTTTATTTTATGTGTATGGGTGTTTTGCCTGGGTGCAGTTCCCAAGAAAGGCAGGTGTTGGAAACCCTGGGACTGGAGTTACAGGTGGCTGTGAGCTGCTATGTGGGTAATGAAAAGCTCATCCTGGTGCTCTGGAAGAGCAGCTAATCTATGGATACTGGGAATCAACTCTAGTCCTCTGGAAGAGCAGCCAGAAATCCTAACTAATGAGCCATCTCTAGCCTTCCTGCCCCTTTTAAGAAGTGCTAACATTGCCCATACAGGCTCTGCCAATGCCATTACTACTTTCCTGCTGCAGTCATATCTTCTAAGAGCCAATCACTGGTAATTAGGCTTCAACATAGGTATTCGGAGGGAGACTTAAACATTCAGACCATAGTGATCAATTTTTCTCTGCCCCCAACAAATACAGTGAATTAGCACTTAGCATTCAAAAAGCTTAACTAACCTATATGCATTTTGGGGTCATGAGACATCAGTTTTAATAATTTGCCAGTCACTAATATTAGATATCAAAGTCCAGCTGAGTTTACAATTTTTCTTGTAGGTTTTATAATATTAGTATATAAATTGAAATTAAATTATATGGCTAGGAACTATATTATCAATTTCATAACTAGCAAACAAAAATATCAGTTTTCTGTATCCTTTGATGTAGTCCCCACTCAGTAGGAAGGGGCAGATTATAAGGATTATAGATCACCAGGGTCAGAAATGGGAACTGTAATATATTTTTAGTAACATCACTACATTCTACTGATCTGGGTGATCAGCCTTATGATCCACCAAAAACTGATTGATGTGTTTATTCTGCCAAATTATGGTAGGTCATTAAAAGACTAAACAAACGAGTTATACTTACTATTAAACACCCATCTTGTAGGGCATGGGGTGGTGGTGGTGGTATGGCCCAGTGGTAAGAGCATTTGTCACTCTTCCAGAAGACCTAAATTCACTTTCCAGAACCCACATCTGGTGGTTTACAATGGCTTGTATCTCTAGCTCCATGAGATCCAATGTCTTCTAGCTACTTAGGGCACCCAACAGACACGCTGAACACAAACATAAACATTGAAGCAAAATCCCTGAACTCTTCCCCAACCACCATACAAGCAAATGCACACTGCTCCTTGGAGGCAACTATAACACAGCAAAAGCTTTAAAAAAAAAAAAAAAGGCATATAAATTTGCATCCCTTACACTGCCATGTGAAGAGGCCCAAGCTCCTTGGAGGGTAAGAATGTAGTGTCTCCTAGGCTGTGTGCCAGCTGGCTCGCCCTTCCACTAGTGTTCCAGGCTAGAAGAGCAGAACCTGTAGACGACCCCACATGTCTGACCCACCAATGGAGTAAATAGATCTATTTAGAGGTAGTTCATTATGCAAAGACAACTGACACCATATTCTCTGAATTTCAAGTCAGCTGGAAATGTGTCCGGTTTTGTGATGCACCTATGATAGTTATTTGTCCTGGTATAAACTGATTTAGCTTTCAGTAAT